GATGACTATAGTCAGTATACATGGCTTTATTTGATGAAAAGTAAAGATGAAGTTCCTATGATTGTTCAAAACTTCATGAATATGGTCGAGACACAATTTGAGAAAAGAGTTAAGATAATAAGATCTGACAATGCCATGGAGTACTTTGAACATCACTTCACCAAAGTTCATGTAGTCATACTCCACAAAAAATGGGGTAGTTGAAAGAAAAAATAGGCATGTGGTTGAAGTCGCTCGAGGCTTATTGTTCCAAACTCATGTTTCAACTCGTTTTCTAGGGTGATGCTGTTGAGACAATTGTATATCTCATTAACAAACTCCCATTAAGGGTCCTTAACCTTCATTTTCCTCATCAACTACTCTTCCTTGATGAACCTCCTTTTAATTTACCCCTTAAGGGTCTGGTTGTATTTGTTTTGTTCATGATATGAGTCCTTCTCGGTACAAATTTGATCATAAATCAGTTAAGTGTGTATTACTTGGTTACTCTCTAGTCCAGAAAGGCTATAGATTCTTTGATGCTCTCTCTGGCAAGAGATATATTTCTAAGGATGTTACCTTTTTGGAATCCTCTTCCTTTTTCCAGTCACCCTGTCATTCTCTTCAGGGGGAGAATGCAAATGAGGATTAGACTCCTTTTTGCCTGTGTTCCTACCTCTCTTCCTTCCTCTATTCCTTTTCCTCATCCTCCTCATGTGTATCGACCTCGGTCCTGGCAACAGTTTTCATTAGGCGCAGTAAAAGGGTGGCTCCTAAAGCAGAATGCCCATCCATATCTGATTCGTTGGACTCAGGTAATCTTGAACCTCCTGACAATCTTATTATTGATTTTAACCTTGATCTTCCTATTGTCATTTGAAAATGGAAGAGGACATGTAGGAAGTATCTTATCACAAACTATGTGTCTAATGATGCTCTTTCACGTTCCTATTGTGCCTATATTTTTGCTATCTCTTCTGTTTCCATCCCTTGCAGTGTTACAGAGGCAATGCAATGCCCCCATTGAAAGGAAACTATGAACCAAGAAATGGAGGCCCTAATGAAGAACTAGACTTGGGAGGTTGTTCCTTGCCCCAAAGATAAGATTCCTGTTGAGTATAAGTGGGTTTATACTGTTAAGCACAAGGCATATGACTCAATTGAAAGATACAAAGCTCTGCTTGTATCTAAAAGATACATTTAGACTTATGGCATTGATTATCTAGAAACCTTTGCTCTAGTTGCTAAAATGAAATCTATTCGTGTGATTATGTCTCTTGTCACCCATAACTTGTGGCCTTTATATCAAATGGATGTAAAGAATGTCTTCCTTAATGGGGACTTACAAGAGGAAGTGTATATGGAATTACCACTTAGGGTAAGTTTTCCTAACAGTAATGGAAAAGTGTGCCACTTGAAGAAGTCTTTGTATGGGCTAAAACAATTTTTAAGAGCATGGTTTGACAAGTTCAAGAATGTCATCTTAAAGATTGGTTTTTCTCAATCTCAGGCTGACCACACCTTATTTATTAGAAGAGTTGATTGTTGAGTAACAGTGTTGATAGTATATGTTGATGACATTGTTATGATAGGTGATGACATCATAGGTATCTCTAAGTTAAAGTCATTCCTTGCTTTTGAATTTGAAATTTAGGACCTTTGTGATCTCCGATACTTTCTTGGCATTGAAGTTGCAAGATCAAAGAAGGGGATTTTTTTGTCACAAAGGAAATATGTACTTGATTTATTTCATGAGATTGGGAAATTAGGGTGTAAGCCTGAGAAACTTTAATTGATCCCAACCACAAGTTGAACTCTACTGAAGGAGAAGTTCTTCCAGATAGGGGGTATATTAGAGATTGGTGGGATGCCTGACATTTCCTATGATGTTGGAGTAGTTAGCCAATATATGCATGAACCTAGGACATCTCATATGCAAGTAGTTAATAGAATTTTTTCCTACTTGAAAGGATGCCCTAGCAAAGGGATGTTGTATTCCAATTACGACCATCTAAAGATTGAGGGCTTACACAGATGCTGATTGGGCAGGGTCCATCAATGATAGAAGTTCTACATCCGATTATTGTGCCTTTGTTCGAAGCAATGTGGTTTCCTTGAGAAGTAAGAAACAACCTATGGTTGCTCATTCTAATGCTGAGGCAGAGTATAGGGCAATGGCTCTTAAAGTGTCTGAACTACTTTGGTTGATGACGTTATTGACTGAGATGGGCATCCGAGCAGATGTTCCAATGAGATTGTATTGTGACAATCAAGCAACCATAAATAATGCTTACAATCCTGTCCAACATGATTGTATAAAGCATATTGAGGTGGATATACACTTTATTAGAGAAAGAGTTGCTAGCGGAGAGATTTGCCTTCCTTTTGTGAGGTTAGAAGACCAATTAGCTGATTGCCTCACTAAAGGTGTTCACCGTCCAAAGTTTGTTAGGAACCTTGCTAAGCTAGGCATGATTGACATATATGCTCAGTTTGAGTGGGAGTGTTGAGAATGGCTAGACATAGGTGTTTTTGGTTTTTTTCTCCTTTCTTATACTCTCTCAGTATTTGGGCACTCATATAGGGGCCTTCTTGTAATTWTTATTTTTTCAAATTATAAAGTAATCTTTTGAGGGTGTGAATAATGAATAACACATACCTCTCGACACTTCTTTCTTCTTCCTCATCTTCTTCTTCTCTTTCCTTCTCTTCTTCCTCTCACTTGAAACCCTAGTTTCTACAACTGGTTCTTTAATGTTCTCTTGTCCTTAAGGGTGCAAGTTGGGAGGGATAAGCTGGGTTTAAGGTCAACTTAGGCCCAACCCTAAGATTTGGGCTTAAGGCTTGAGCCTGAACTAAGTTTGAGGTCAAGCTCGCTCTTCGGTTGATTCCGCTCTAAAATTACATGTTTGTATGCATTTATACACTAGTAATTAATCACATGGAAATTTTAAATTACAAAAACAATTATTATTATTATTATCAAATTTTATATTCGATTTCTGACATAAATAAAAATAATTTTTATTTTAACAAATATTTTATTTACTATGATGAATATACAACATTAGAAATGTTCCCAAATGTTTTTGACAAAATTCTGTACTTTTTCAGTTTTATGTTATATTTTTTAATATTTATTATTCAATTATAACATCATGAGTTTCTTTGAAAAGTTGGACCATTGACCCAACATCTAAATAATAAAATAGCTTTTCTTTCTGATCAATTGTAAATTATATATTTCCTCTATATTATATAAATAATTACTTATCACACTTAATTTTTGTTTGACATAATTAATATATAATTTTTTATATATTCTTTTGATTACTTGTACTTTTTATTTTTTAAAGATTTATATTTTGCATTAAATTTTGTATTACATCTCCATCATTGATAAAATTATTTCTTATGTATAATATTTATTTTTGTTCAATATAATGAATGCATAATATTAGAGATGCATCCAATATTTTATTTTTTCATAAATATATAACATTAGATATGTGGCCAAAATTTTCTCTCTATTTTTTTTTATTTTAGTGATTCTTTGTATTTTTTTTATTTTTAAAAATTTGATTACTTGACTATGACATCATTTTATTTTTAGGTTGATTTTAAATTTGACACTCCATTTTTGTCATTAATAAAAATACTTCTTACATTTCATACTTATTTTTGTTTAGTATAATGAATATTCAATATAAGGGATGCCCAATTCTTTTTTTTTCGTAGTAAGTATTATATTTTTTATTATTTAATTATGACATTATTTATTAACCCATTTGATCCTAAATGATTGAATACTTGAATTGCTTACCCACCATGGGAGGGAAGAAAATATTTATTTTTATAGTATTAAAATTAATATTGTAGATTTAATTAATAGAATTTATTGATAAGAAAAATGTATCTTAAATATAGAATTTAATGAGAGAATATACCTTAAATAGGAGATTTAATTAAAGAGAATAGGAAAATAATTATATTTCCATTTGGTTTTAAATTTTACATTCCATTTCCATCATTAATAAAAACATTTATTATTTTTTATACTTATTATTGTTTAATATATCGAATATATGATGTTAAAAATGTTTCCAATTTTTTTTAATTTCAATATTTCTTGCACTTTATCTATTAATTAATTTTATTATTTAATTGTGACAATATGGATTGGCCCATTTGACCCAAAATGATTTAATTTCTTACCACCACCTCATTGGAAATATTATTTTTTCCTAGGTAGATTATGAGAAGAAAAAAAATGCTTTAAATATATGATTAAATGAAGGTGAATACAAGATACCTTAAATGTTGGATTTAATGAAAGGGGATTGAATGCATTGAATTTTTTAAAATTTCATGTTTTCAACTCATTTAATATCAATAACAAATTACCCTATTTTCCCTCACTTTTTATCAATAAATTTAAATATGGAGGGGTATATTTTGTTATAAGGAATTCCAAAAAATATTCTTGAGGGTATTCATGCTTTTTATAATATAGATAAGGCCCCATTTGACACATCTTTTCGCGTGGTCTTTTGGCTGTATAGAAGTTGGGTAGATTGTGTCGCAGTCTTTTTCCATTTGGTTCATATCAGATCTAGCCGCCAAAAGCTAATGTGTCGAAAAGACACGAGAAACCTAAAATGGGCAAATTTTGAGAAACTTAAAATGGAGCTTTTCGTGTCTTTCTCAGTTTATTGTCTTACGCAAAGACATGCTATAGCCAAACCAGTTTCGGGCTGCTATAATCTTAATGAAAAAGCTCAATACGACTTTTAGCTATTAGAACTACGAGAAGATATTTCAAAATATACTTACCAAACGGCCCCAAAGATATAGATATTTGTCTCATATGCATAAAATAAAAAAACCGAAGTCTTTACTCGATTACAGCCCGATGACTGAAAATCAAAATCCGACACGTGTAAAATTTTGGTATGGGTCGGTCAGACCCGGGTTGTGCCCGCCCAAGTTGCACCCCTACTCACCTGTATACTGTAAAGGGTCTTGAAGGGCTGGTAAGAGAGACGACAGAGGCGCAGAGCCGCCGGACGCAGCATAGACCGTAGGTAGCCAAGTTCCTCTCTCCTCTCCTTTTCACGCTGGCAGGACTTATCTTCTTTTCTTCTTTTCTGTTACAGATCTCAGGCGCTGAACACTTAGGTCGGACGCCCTGTTGTATTGGCGGGTGGTGGTAGAAGACTAGAAGCCACCAGGTTAGTTCCTCTCTCTTTCTCTCTCTCTCTCTCTCTCTCTCCTCACTCACTCGCTCACTCATTTTGTTAACTCTTTCTCCTCTTTTTTCAGTCTGAACATCGGACTCCAAATGCTAGATCACCAACGGCCCAATCCAACAAATATATCAATGTAAAGTGTGGTATGTGAACTCTGTTTCAGTTCTCTTTTTTAATAGATAGAGATTAATAGAACAATCTGATTCTTATTGAATCACATTTGTAGAAGCATTTGATTTGTTTCAATTCTCACATTGTTCTACTATTACTTTTTTATGAATCAAATTATTGTATTATATTTTTAGTATTAATTGCTCTGCCAACAGCTTTTCTCATTGAACCCTTTATTCAGATTGTTCTACTTTAATCCAATATGAATCGGATATCACATAAAATAACTGGATTGAATTCGAATTTATATGTCATGAATCCATCGGAGTCATACCGAATTCGAATCTATCGGATTAATGCAGCTCCATATTTCAAAAACAATAGAATACAAGACAAAATGTTTCTTCAGTAAGGGTCTGAATTTTCTTTTCTTTCCCCTTGTTTCTTTCAGGTGCTGACTTTTTACATTCAAATGGCGATGATGATGCAACACATATCAAGGAGAATCTCAAGGCCTTTGACCTTTTCAATGGCCAATCTCCTCAACCATCCCGTTTCTTCAACACAAAACCACTGTTTCAGTAGCGTGCCTCATAGAACAAATCTCCGACTTCAGGAATTAGTGATTCCAGGTGATTTCCTGAGGTGGGGTTCTCTTGGTTTCTGCAGAAACTCGAGATTTGCTACTGGGTTCATACCTCTACAGCGAAAACCATTGGATTCAATCATGGACCTTGAGAGGGCAAAAAACCGCTCGCCTGAGGATCTGGTTTCCATCTGGGATGATGTAAGTCTTATTACCTTATTCTATTTATGGTGTTGCTCATATGCTTCTGAAAATGTAGTCCAATATTTAACTTTCCAAATATGGGTCGTTGTGCATTCCATTTTGTTTCTTAGTTCAATAAGGATTTCATTAGTTAATTAAATTGTAAAGGATGCTGAACAAGTTTGTACAGAGATTGCAGTTAGAATTTCCTCTCGTTTATTGGCAATGACTCCTCTTGTTTCTGAGAGTGCCATAGCAGTCCATGTCTAGTGGTAATTTTGAGTCAGTTGGGTGTGAATCTGTGTGGATGGGCAATGCTACAAATGGGCTGGAGGGAATGAATTAAGAAGTTGTTTGTTGATTTGAAAGGCATCTCCATCCCCTTGCTCTGATGAGGATAGTTGCCGAGAAAGAGGAGATTAGAGACCCTGAACACTGGGGGAACTGTATGATTTTTAAGATCTAGAGTGATAAGCTAGGAGGGGTGATAGGATTGAAGGAATACCTGTACAAAGCATTGCTGGAGGATGCTTTGAAGGTTTTGGACCACAAACTTGTTCCTTGTTTGATTTCATAGCAAGTATGCCTGAAATAAAATCTATAAAGGGGGTCCTTGGAATTTCAATGGTGATGCCATCTTGGTGAAAAATGCCAAGTGTTGGTTCAATCATCCTACACCCTGGATACTTTAGATGTATGGGTGCAATTATAATCTCCCCCTTGAATATCTAATGGTAGATGTTGCAAAAACCCTTATGGAGTCCTACTGATCCTGGAACTTAAGATGTGAAAGGATGGTGTATATATTCACCAGAATCATAGTGAGAATGAATATTTCCACCTTCTCATCAGGGAGATCCAATATACACTCTTTAATGGAGATAAAAGTCTGGTACAATCCAAGTGTGAAAGGTTACCCAGGTTTTGTTGTTTATGCAGGAGGATTGGATATGAAGTAGAGGGGTATTCAATAAAGTTAGATATTTTTGAATCCATTGAGGAAGTCAAATCTGATGATATGGAAGAGGCTCTATGGAGTTTGCTGGTTGAAAGATTCTCTTTTGAGTTATGTAGTATCAATGGGCATAGCAAATATTCTACAAATCAGGAGAAGAAAAGTGGTAGAATATCAAGATATTTTCAGAAGTCCATTTGTACTGTTGGAGTCAAAGTCCACTGCATCAAGAGACGTTCTGGATGAGGGAATTTATGACTGCCATTGCTGGTTGCCACTTCTTGATGCTAGTTCAAGAGAGTAGTGTTGGCAAGGAAGATGGACATATTTTTCTTTTACATAATATTTCAAACCATGTAACTGAAGCTGAAAAGGATGGGGAGGATAGATAGGAAATCATATAGCTTCAAAAGAAAAGTATGGCGACAATCAGGGAGAAATGGAGCTACCTACTTTATATGATTATGAAGGTAGTAGGATGGAGAAATATGTTTCACCAAGTAAGGTACTATGCATGGAAGCTGGGCAGTCTGTGGCTGAATATAGACTTACCTTGAAGAGGTCCGAATGGTTGATGGGCTTTGATTGGGAGAGACCAATAAGGCAACAAAGCTGAAAAGACAAGTAAGACGGGAAAAAGTCTGAAGCAAATGCTGTTGTTTCATGGACTAAGTAGGCAGGTCCAGTACTGCTCCACTCAGCTGAATGAGTTGTTTGGCTTGGAACTGTCAAGGGGGAGGGAACCCTTGACAATTTTGTGTTTGAAATGTCTCCTGAGAAATCTCAAACCAAATATATATTTGTTTCAGAAACCAAGAGTGTCAGACAAATCTAAAACACAGCTTTGTTTTTGTCATCAATACTATTTGCACAATTTTCCTTCTTTTTGGGCTGACTAGTGGCATTTGGGTGGGATTGGAGAAGTGGTTAGATATTGAAATTACATAACTTTATTTAAATCTTATTGTGTGTAGGGTGAAGAATTGGCCCGCTTATGCTCATTGAGATCTTCTTTGTCACTATGATCACCCAAGTATTGCTGGTACATAGGAGTTTGGGTTGATATTTGTAGCTATTGCTTGAGTGCTTCTAAATGATGATGATGATAGGGTCTGATTTGTCTATTTATAGTTTATTTTTTTTTAAGTTTTAGGGCCGTTGGATACCTAGTTTAAGGGTTATTGAGTCTTCTTGGAATTAGAATAGGATAATGACATTTCAGTATTTTTTTTTTTTTGAGTTCTACTAGGATTCTTATGAGTCTGCAGTCTATAAATATGTATGGGCGTTTAAACAAGGATTGATCAAGTTTATCCGAGTTTTTAGAGCTTATGCTATTTTTGCTGAGTGATTCCTATGCCATAGTATGATTCTAGGTACCCCATGAGTGATTCTAAGTTTTCTCTCTTTCTTTCTCCCCCTATTTTCTTTCTTATTCCTTAAAGAAGCCATACAGTCATCAACAGCCATAAATTTCTAATCAAAGGACAACCGTTCAACATTCTCCAAGGATTGGATTTGAACTAGTCCTACGCTGGTTCTGTTCAATGCAATCTTTTCTTTTTACTTCCAGCTAAGTCCTTTTTGGTCTGCCTCTAGCTCTTCTACAATCACTTTTTCTAACAAGTGTTGTAGATGGTCTTCTATGCATGTGACCAAGCCATCTCAATCTGCTTTATCTCATTTTATCAACCATTGGAGCTACTCCTAGGTTCCTTTGCATGATTTCATTTTTAACCTTATCCTTCCTGGTTTTACCACTCATCCATCTAAGAACTTGCATTTCTGTCACACACTTTTTTTTGGGGATGCTGTTTATTAACTACCCAACACTCTGCTCCATACCTAATACTCTGCCCAACACACTCATTTTTGGACTTGAATTCCATTTCTCTGATCGAAGAAAAGTGTGGAGGTTGAATGGCAGTATAATCCCAAGTCCCAACTAAAAAATTACAAAAGAATGTGGTCTAATTGACATTGGTTTAAGACTTATAGAAGAATGTGGTTTAATTCACATTGGCTTTTGTGGTCCTGCTTTCACATGGCCAAATTTGAGGGCAGAAAACAAGTTGGTTATGAAGAGAATTGGCACTTATTTCAATGAAGTGACTCTCACTATTTCCTTTTACAAGCGTAAAATACCTACTTGCTGTAACTACTAACTAGTGGCCACAGCCCATTGTTCCTAAATTTTATGAAAGACCAGTTGGAGGCTGATCATGAGATTTGAAGAGAATTGGTTTAAGGAAGATATTTTTTATGATGACTTCAGTAATGCATGGTCACAAGCCTTGGGTCCTTTCCATTTGAAGTGTATGAAAGTTAAGGTGTCTACATACCACTAGGCCAATTGCAATATGGTGACATCACAGGAAATATCAAGTGTTTGGAGCATGCTCTTCTTAAGGTTCAATTGATGCCCAGCAATGAACTGAATGTGCTGAAAGAGAGCAATAGAGTTGGAGAGGTGGTTACAATGTTAAGGGGTCTACTGGAAACAATGATCCATAGTCTATTGTCTCTTGGATGGAGATCTTAATATGTGGTTTTTTCATATTACAGCCTCTAATCAGAGGAGATGCAACAGTATTCATTGGTTAAAAATAAATGATGGTAGATGGACATCATCCCCCTCTGAGATCGAGCCTACTATTACATCCTTCTTTAAAGAGTTATTTACTGCACGAGCCCAGATTTTAATGATTTTCATCTTATGGATAGAACCCATGTTCTCATGCTGTAGGAAATTGATAATTTATGTTGATTCTTGGATGAAACTGAAATCAAAGAGGTAGTGTTCAGTATTGGAGCATTGAAAGCCCCTGCCCTAGATGGTATTCAGGTCTTAGTGTATTAGAATCGTTGGTCTCACTTTAGTGAAGATCTGGTATCTATTCAATTGTACAAGAAATGTTTTGACACCCTGAAAAAAATTAAAGAGGTAAGCCTTACTCATAATTTAGTTCTTAAGCCCCTGCCCTAGATGGTATTCAGGCCTTAGTGTATCAGAATTGTTGGTCCCACTTTAGTGAAGAGCTGGTATCTATTGTACAAGAAATGTTTCAGCACCCTGAAAAAAATTAAAGAGGTGAATCTTACCCTTATTAATTCTTAAGCATGACCATGTGGAAGAAGGTTTGAGCAGATGTCCTTCATAAAACTGTTATAAAACCATCACTTCTGGATTCAAACCACTGATTTATAAGCTTATTTTTCCTTTGCAAAATGCTTTTATGCCAGGTTGACTTATAAATGATATTTATTGCTTAAGAAGCTTTTCATAATATGAAGCATTATAAAGGTAAATTGGCTTGTTTCTTGCCCAAACTGGGCCTATCAAAACCCTATGATAGCATTGAATGGGGTTCTCCTTAAAACACTGGAAACCATGGGGTTCTCTAGTAATTTATGTGATTTGGTTAATGGCTTCATTTCCACTTAAGTGGTCATATTGTTGAATGGAAAATCAATACATTTCACCATGCAGAGAGGCTTTGCAACAATGGTGCCCCTAGCTCCCTTATCACCATATTTGTTTATTTTGTGCACTGAAAGTTCTTTCTACTCTTTTGTTATTGAAGTTGTAATCGTGGGAACTTCATGGAATTAAATTTGGAAGATCAGGTATATGGTTGAATTACTTACTTTTTGTAGATGATTTATTGGTTTTTGGTAAATGCTTTGTATCTAAACTATCTTGCACCAAGGTGCAGCCCAACTTTTTTTGTAGGTGGGCTGGTTAAGAAATTAATATCAATAAATCTGCCATCTTGACACAGCATAGCTAAAACCAGTTTTTTTCAACCTGCTGTTGACTCAACCGGTTGAACCATTTGCACTGTCACCTGGCCATGATTCCAGGTCCGGTTCTACTAAAACCTAGGAATTAGTCAAAAACTGTCTGACCTGAGTGGTTGGACCGTTGGCCCATTCAACCAAATGACCAGGTCATGACACTAAAGTGTATGCAAACTTCTGAAGGCCATAACTTTGCGCTTTGATATCCAATTGGGGTGATCTTTATTTATTTATTTTTATTTTGGGCAACTTTTCAAGATCTATGTGTCTGAAGGGTTGTAGGTGCCTTGCCCTGCTATTTTTGCCAAAAAACCCTTTTTTGGCCTCAAATCACAATTTTTAGCATTTTTACAAATAAAAGAATAATGAATTAAAAATATAAATTGAATATAAAATAGTGCATATATTACATGTAGAATATAATTATACATTATATACTGATAAAATATGTGTTTATGCCTAAAATATGTGTGTGTGTGGCACAGTTTTACCCGTTCACCCTGGACGGTTGAACCAGTGACCTGTGACCCGGAAGCAAAAATGGTTCAGTCTCCAGGTCAGTTTTTAAAATATTGGTTAAAACCTAAGTATGCAGCTTGAGAATGGTATGAAAATAGGATTTTGGGAAAGAGAGTAGAGGGTTAAGTCACAGCCTTGAATTAGAGCCTTTGAAGTCTCACCTTAAAACTCTAATTCCAGATTGGAGTCATACCACTTAGTTAGAGGAGTCACACCCCTAAGAAAATGGAGTCATACCACTAAGGCACAAAGTGCTCAAAGAAAATGCTCAATTCATTTACTGCTGAAAATAGATTAGTACATCCCTTTATATAGCCAATCTTTCTTGCTAGTGAAGAAAGTTAGCAACTTAGCAGCTTTAACTCATTTCTTAGTAATCAAGACTTCTCAAGATGAGTGTTGACATTCTCCTTGCTTTCATTAATTCCAAGAAACTTCAACATGACAATACCAAGGTTCATTGAATTTATATTAATTCCCAATTCATGTTTCAATTTAATGTGTTGGCTGGCCATGGATCTGGATTTTGGGTATGGATATAAGCTAGAGGTATGGGTTTGGATATAGGTAATGTGTATGGGTAATAGACATAGGTTTGGATATGGGTAAAGGTGTGTTTTAGTATGTTTTTGAGTTTCTTTTCTTCTTGTGGCTACTTTCATCCCATCAAATCCAGCATCACATCTTCAGCAAAAGTACTCGTACGAAAGTGTGGCTGAGATGGCATCTTTAATGGGATTTAAATGTGAGTGAGAAGGAGAAATACCTTGGTGGACCCCTCTTGGGCTGGTCCAAATAAAAGATTGGCTATGTTGGTGGAGAGGGTATGCAGAAAATTAAGGCTGCATTTGGTATTCCTTATTTTAAGGACTTTTCTCCTTTTTGTAGTTAAAAACGCCCCAATGAACACTGAGTTTTTAGCAGCAAAAAGGAAATAAGTCCTTAAAATACGGAATGCCAAATGCAGCCTAAATGGGTGGAAGTTGAGTTTATTGTCTCAAGTGGGTAGTGGGTAGAATAGTCCAATCAAATCTACACTTGAATCTCTCCCATCTACCACATGCAATCTTATCTTCTCCTCGTACCAACTTGTAAGACTTAATCGCATATGCCAGGACTTCTGTTGGCATGACTTGGAGGGCAAAAGAATGATTCATTTAAGGGAGAGGCATCATTTTCTTAAACCCCAGGGGGGTGTGTGGATTAGGCTTGGTTGGAGTAGAGGAGATGAATGTGGCATTAATTCTTAAGTCATGCTGGAGATTTCTAATGCAACTGGGGGTCCTTTGGTCCGAAGTCATCAAGGCCAAATATCTCAATTGATTAAATTTTTTGGTACATCAAACAGAGGAGTGGAGGTCCTTTGGAAGGGATGCATGCTGTTAAATGGAAAGGGATGGAATGTGACAGAAAACCACAGCCCTTGGTTACCATCAAATGTACAAGATCCTTCTATTGCTGCTGAGTTTCATTATGAGTGGAAAGTGGTAGCCCATTGACCATGCCAATATGAAATGTAAAGAGACCTGTATTTGAGAGATATTTGTTGGTGATACTGCAAATTCTATCTTAGAAATGATATCACCTCTGATACAGGTGTTTATGAGAGATTGGTATGGACCCTTACTTTTCGTGGTAAGTATACTGCTTTGGGTCTGAAATTAAATTTTAAGGATGCCCAATGCAGCTCTTGACGTGTGACTATTGTGAATGGTCATTCCTGGAAATATCTCTGGGAATGCAAGTAATATACCTCCACGAGTTATGTTGTTCTCATGAAAGTGTTCTCAGAGAATAGTGTTGACCAGGTATGACCTTTCAAATCACCACTGTTATATGGACCATGGATGCTTGCTTTGTGAGGAGGAGGAGATTCTAAAGCATTTCTTGTTTTATTGTCCTGCTAGCCTACCATGGCTGTTCGGTTTGGATGTTGCCTAAGTCTCACAATGAAAGTCCATTTTCATAGGAAGGTAGAAGATTGGATTGATTGCTGGCTAGAGATTGATGAACATATGTCAAATGTGACGGACTTGATACTCCTTCATGGTGCGTTTATCCTTTGGTTATATGGAGATCAAGAAATGGTCATTTTTTTAGTAAAGACCTGAAATGGTGGTGATATGTGCCCATACCTATTTAGATTTGGTTCTAAATGATGTTGAACTGATATCTGTTTTGACCCTTCAAACTAATCGTGTGGGACAATCCTCTTCTGCATGGCAAAATCACCAATTGAGTTTGTAATGGTAAATTATGGTGCAGTGGAGCATACCAAATCTGGTGTGAGGCTTTGTTATTCCTTGAAACATTGTGATTTATTCATGTGCTAGGTTTATCAAACTGCATTGTGGAAGGTGATTTGGCGATCATTGCAAAGCTTCTGTTGGTGGGAAAATTGTCTCCACCATGGTGAATTAGCATGAACATTGCTGACTGCAGTAACTCATTATCAAAGCCTTCTGTCTGTCTTGGTTTTACAATCCATAGAAATACAAATGTTATTGCTCATAAGCTAGCCACATTTGCAGAGTCTTGTTCTTGGGCCATGACTTGGTCCTGTTTACTAGACTTCAATTGTGAATCTGTCACTCGAGAGGTGCAAATTGAGATTGTTGTTGAATGAATGAAGTCATTGTGCTTTTTCTGAAAATGAAAAGCTTGTGCAGAAAAAGAATTTGAATGAATTGGCAACACAAACACGGAGTTTATGAAAGTAAATACTTCATGGAAGATAATTTACACAATGTTGTTTTTATGGAATTTTAACCAGCTCAGACAATGGATGAAGTGACTCAACTTCCTAAATATTTCATTCTAAATACTGTTTTGAAAGTATTACTGTTGCCAATTTCTTTAGCTTCTTTGGTTGTGCCAATCTCTACTTTGAAATATGCTTGTAAGTCCTATTTTATAATTTTTTGAAATTTCATACAACTGACTTCTTTACTTGGATGCTATTTCTAGTTATCCATGCTAAGAGGAAGTCTTCTTGTTTATCTTGTTGCAGAACTCAAGATATTTCTTTTATTCTTCAATTTCCCTTAGGCCATGTTTGGTTTGAAAGAAAAGGTAGGGAAAGGAAGCCCAAGGTAGGAAACCTATACAAACCTTGTACAGATTTCCCTACCATTCCCTACCTTTTCTTTCAAACTAAACACAACCTTAGGGATACAAGAAGGGGAAGGGTGCTAGTGCTTTTAGGTAATTGGAAAGGGTGTTAATCCAGAGTATACCTGCTAAATGCATCATGTAATTTTTCTCTTGTTGATTTTTAATCCAACCGTTATGCTTACATATTGAATTAGAAACTGTTTGATTGTCTGGTGCATATGCATTGTTTCGGACATGCATCCAAGTGCCAGTTTTGATAGTTCAATTGTTTATTTATTTTTCTATCAGCCATGCATGAATTATAAAGATGGTCATTACCCAATGCTGGTCCAAGTTGTCTCATTTGGGTGTCCCAGCTGTCCGAGTTGGCTCCAAACTTTTAGATTTGGGTGGGCAAATGGATCCAAGTGCTAAGCACATACCATCTGAACCCATGTTAAATTGTATTCATCTGTAAAATCAGAACTGATGGAAGGGTTGCTGTCTGTTTTTCTTTCTCCCCTTCATGTTTCAGTATCATTTGGGAAGGGGTCACATTGGGTCATCCATTAAGGCGAAATTGTACCATTTGTTGGAGCAAAGATCAAGTACTTGGTAAATTTTATTCTCCTTGGTGCTTTTCTATTCAGTCTCTTCATATCTCATTACTTGTTATTTCTGTTTTATTGTTGTAGCCGACATTTTGTCATTCCTTTGTGGAAAGGAAGCGGTTATACAACAATGTTTATTCAAGGTTTGATCCCTAACTTTTATTTCTATCATGTAGATATACATATTCTACCGAGTATAAATCAGAGAGTTACCCAAATGAAGAATCTGTTGTCCCCATAAAAAAAAAAGAATCTGTTCAATTTTTACAAGTTTTTTTTCTTCAATACTTCTCTGTAAATCATCCATTTCTTGTTGACAAGTCTACCTGTATATCATAACTGAAACAATGTATAATATATTTTGATTCTCTGATACATAAGTTGAATGAAATGCACTTAATGCATTTTCTATGAAGGCACCGTTTATGCAACAGACTTTCCAGCGGTTGAAATTGATCCTTCAAAGATAGTGCAAAATTATATATGTTCTTTAGATATACCAAAATTTTCCAGGTGGTTCAGTCTTTTCTGGTTTAATTATATATGTTCTTTAGAGGTAACAAAAATTTCCAGCAGTTGTAATTCCTGTAGCACGTATAGAAGGATCAATATCAACAACAGGAATGGAATCATTGGTAGAAACTCTAGGAGTAATGGGTAGAGGGACATGGCTCTCCTTTGCCACTATTATTTTCCTCTTGAAGGGAGGCATTGGGAAATCTTATTTCCTATCTAACCATTTGGGTTCTAGTTTCAGGTTTTGTTCAATGATGATGAGTAGCACTAATTTGTTAAATTAAGAAGGCATCAAGCTACACTTGACCTTTATGCTTAATGCTACAACAGCCAGTTTCTAGTCTAATATTCCCAAATGTTAAGAAACTACAATACCCTCAACCTCTTAAAGATCTGCATCTGTGATTCTCCCTTAGCACTAATATCTTGTAGCACAGGAAATTATTGAAGTCATGATTTTTAACAATGGTAAAATAGTTATTTGATGAATATTATTTTGTCAGGTCTTTACAGTTTTACAGAATTCTAGCTTTCTTGCAGTGCAGATGCCTCACATGCTTTTCACTGGACTTGAGGATTACAAAGCAAGAGGAACTCAAGCTGCTCCATACTTTACTGTAACCTATTACACTGAATTTGCAGAGAGTAAGGATGTGGTACTTATTCGTGGGGATGTAGTATTCACTAGCAAGCTTACTGATGCAGAAGCTCAGTGGCTTTTGGAGACCACCCAATCCTTCTATCAGAATGATGTCAGATACAAATTGGTTGAGCGGTTCAACAAAGCGACCCATGAATTTGAGTTCAACGATGTATTGCAAGCACTGGAAATGCCTATTGGATGAGCTGTCAATTTGACTGCCTACGGGGTTTGTCCCTCATGGATTGTTGGGGGTGGTGGAGTTGGGTTTACTCTTGAGATACATGTTTTGATTGTTTTTTGCTGGTTAATAAAGACTTGGAATGCATATACTCTCAAAGATCTCAAAGTTTTTTGGTGTAGCCTCATCCCAGAGGGTTCCGGGTTTCCATTCAGGAGATGTTTCATTTCAGTGAACTATGACAACTGTATTATATTTACCCAAACTATAAATTGGATATTTCTGAACATCTTGATTGAATTGGCAGAATCGGCATCTAGAGATCTCTTTGCCACTATCATCTCACAAGTCATAACTTGTGACGAAGGTTTAAATTGGTCACGGATACGGGATATGTCAAGATTAGTATGTATCCCACGATTTGTGCATCAGTACGATGCGCTTTTGTATTGGGCCATATTATGCCATATCGGTAGATGCAATTCGATATGCGCAGGTTCTAATATCGACACGGGCCGGTGTATCGGCCTGTGTTGGTGTTATTTTTTTATTTATTTTTTTATGTTTTACTTATTTTTTTAAAATCGGTTCAGAGGGGCCAGTTTAAGGTCTGATTATCCTCTGAATCAGTGGTTGATCCAATACAACCCCTGTAAGGAGCTATCGGGAAGCCACCAGCATGATATGTATTGGCCGATACGAATCGATACGTGTCGATACTTTGAACCTTGATATGCACTACTAATACAGAAGTATATTGGTGCTTAGTTTGACGAAATGGTATATTGACTAGTTTTGGATTGTTTTTGAATTTTAGTAAAAATTGAAGATTATAATTATAAAACTGAAATAGAATTATAATTATAAAATTGAAATGCATAATTTAAGATATATTTTTTCCTAAAATTTTATAAAAAATGGAAATTATAAAAAATAATTTATTTTATCTACTTAAATGATTTATATGATTTATTTTACATATAAATTATACGTTAAAAATGAAAACATATTTATTATTTGAAAAAATAGAGTTAATTTATATAAAATTACTAAATATATAAAAGTTTTAAAATTTAATAAAAATTAAAAATTATAATTATAAAACTTGAAATAGAGTGATAATTATTGTATGATATGTACATGTTTTAGAGTTCCAATATTATTGATTGTAATGTTTCTCTTTATATAATCTATTAAAGTGTGTATTTATCATATATTTGTACTTTATCCATAGATAATTCAGTTTTAGGTTTAGTGGTATTAATGATTTATGCGATTTGTATGCATTTTGCCATTTCCTTTGTGTATCCAAGAGTTTCTATATCTTTCATTTGTATCCATGTGTTTCCAAAGCTAACCTGTTTATCCATATCCATATCTGAGCTATTTATACAATACATGATACTGATACTTTGATTCTTATTTGTGACATGTTATGTTAATATAGAATATGATGAGACCAAAAAATATGCATTTGATTTTTTTCTTTTGTTCTTTGATTTTATATTTTGGTAATTGATTTTGACCAAAGATCAAAAGTCATGTATCAATTTCATGGCTTCAAAAAAAAAAAAAAAAAAACCAAACCAAACCACCAAGATTGATTTTTACCAATGATTAAAAGTCATGTATCTATTCCCTGGCTTTCTTTACTTCATGCTCAGTTTGGAAGGAGTACAAATACAAATTTGTGGAGTGCAAAACCTTGCATTTTGTATTATTTATATGTATTTATATTGTATATATTTATATTTGTACTCTTCCCAAACTTGGAAGCGTGGTGGTTTTGCTCGATACGAATGTAACAAGGGCAACTAGGGGTGTCAATGGACCGGTTTTGGATTGGACAGACCAATAAGACATTGAATTTGGACAGACTGGATGGATCAATATGACATAATGGATTGGACCTGGTCCATCCATAATAAATTTATATTGGATTGAGCCAATATCTGGTCCATCGATAGAAAGATAAGAACATAGGTGTCAATGGACCAAGGTTTGAGTTGAAACCAATCTAAATAAACAGGAATTTGAACAGATTGGACAGTATCTGAACCGGTCCAAAATATTCATCGGACTGGATTGGACCAGGTCCACTTCTAATGGACTCACATTGGACTGGATTGGATTGGACCAAATCCAGTCCAATTGACACCCTAGGGGCAACAAATTAACAACCACAAGGGTGATCCCGAACCATATCACAACAGGTTTTGCTCATTATACGTGTAACAAGGTCCAAGGCTGGATTATGATAAAGCATATCCTAAATCTTAAGGCTCTGTTTGGCAAGACATGAATATATTAATGTACTTAAAAATGTAAATGAAGCTGTTCAGTCGAATGCAAAATGGATTTACTTTTAACTTTCTACATTTTGGCTGTGAACGAACTGATGGTTAGTTGGTAGGATCTCTGACTCATCCGGATTAGAGACTTGGGATCAAATTGTGCTACCACCAGGGTTTGGGGGAGAGGTTATGGCCTATGGGAGGGGATGGGCTACCCCCATTGTGTAGCCACATGAAGTTTCAGATAACTGTTCATCATCATCCATCTTTGAATTTGAACCAGAGGAGGGGCATGGGTATTTGTTGAGCCAATTTGAGGGTTTTACTTTGAAGATTTCGAACTGTTGCAACCTGATTAGGGCATCTAGGGATGATATTCTTGTTTTGGTTATTCGTGGTTTCTAGAGAGAGCCGATTCAATTCAATTGATGAACCCTTTTCTATAGACCATATAGAAAAGCTATAGTGGAGAATAATGGTTGGTTAAGAGAAAAGATTGGGGTGTTGAAGATGTAAATTTACATGAGATGTAAACAATTGGGGTATCCTTATTAGAACATGTTAAAAATATAAGTAATTAAAGCATGATATGGACCTTCAAAAAAAAGCATGATATGCTAATGGACTCAGATTTTGTATTTCATTTTAATTGTCAATAAAAATATTTCTTATTTATCATATTTATTTTTGTTTAATATGATAAATATATAATATATTAGAGATTTGTGCACATATTTTTGATAATTTTTTGTATTTTCTATAATTTTATTTCTATTAATTTTGAAGCTTTTATTATATAATTATGACATAATGTATTGACCCATTTGACTTGAAACAAAAAAATGATTTCATTTTTAGGAAGCTTCAAATTTTCTATTCCATTTCTATAATTAATTTATTAAAATAACTCTTATTTATTACCCTTATCTTTGTTTAATATGATAAATTTCCAATATTTGAGATGTGTCAAAATTTTTTATTTTTACTTTTCATTATTTAATTATGACATCATTGGTTGACCCATTTTATCCAAACAGTTGCACTGTTAGTGTGCAAGTCAAGCAACCTAGGCTAAGTTTATACTCAACCCAAGCACAACCCTATTGAATTGGGCCTAAGGCTTGAAACAAAGGTCAAGCTAGATTTTCCCAATTTGGGCTTACCCCACACTAGAATTTGATGTATTTAGGTTGGCTTGGGCATGGACCAGGCTTCGGTTAGTCAATTAGACCACACTAGAATTTGACATTAATGTATATGTATATGCATGCATATATGTATGTATGCAAAAATGTGTTTATAGATGTATGTATGTGTATAATTATATATGTATATAGTTGGGTACGACTCAGGCTACTTAGGGGCTTAGGCCTAGGTAGAGGGCTGAAAATCTAAGCCCACATTGTAAAATTGCGGGTTAGGTCAGTTCGAACTCTGGCTGGGCCTGCCTAATTTGCACTCCTATGGACCATTTACCACCATTAATATGGAAAAAGAGTTTTTCTTTTCAAGTAGTTTAAATTTATTATATTTCCATTATTAATAAAAACAATTCTTATTTATCACATGTATCCAAAACAATTCTGTATTTTCTAATATTTTTTGTCTTTATCTTTTTTTAAATTTTATTTTTATTTATGACATCATGTATTGATCCATTTGACTAAAAGGTTGAATCATTGACCCACCACTTAAAGTGGAAAATGATTTTATTTTTGGGTCAATTTTAAATTTTGTACTTTATTTTCATCATTAATAAAATATTTCGTATAATATAATAATTAAAAAATATTAGTGATCTGGAATCTTCTAAAAGGCCTTTGAGCAAGAAAGGTCATGTCGTTTAATCTTCCAAGGCATTGCCAAAGGAGCCTCCTTGGTGTGGGATGTGTGGCAGTGCAAGCCATAATTGATGCTATGAAGGGGAGGAGTAGAAGACCTAACCTCTGGTCGGCTCCTTGTTCTTCTCAAGATCTATAGTTCCCCTTTCGGTTTGGTAAATCCTTCCTAATGGAGAGCCTATTCTGGTCGGTTCTAGTGATGTTAGGTCTTCCTTGTCTTTTAATGACCACCCCAAATTACAAAGCTAACATCATATTTCTGATAGTTTAGGCTTAGGGTTCCGAAGTCTGATGAGAGAACTTGTTCCCCTAGGGCTAGGGCTAGGGGTGGGGACTTTGGGTGTATGAGGATAGTCCCCTTGTTGTAACCAGTGAGATTCATTCTTACTACAGAACAGACTTGGCCATGACCTACGTAGCTTGTCAAAACTCCTATAGATTTATGATCGACTTGATCTTTGTGGCTTACCACAAATACAATAACATCCCCCTTTTACTTTGACATTGTTTTAAATCATTTTGGCCTTGGATGTCCACTAAACGTAGCATGGTTGGTGGCACTTCTCTACTCGACTTCATAGAAAGGTCGTTTTTGGAGATCCTTACATCCACAACTGAAAGAAATGATTCTTCTTCATTTCATACGGGCATGGATGCCCTACAAGATTGATTCGGGCATGCCCTCTTTTTCTTCCAACAAGAAGGTGACGTTGTAAAACTCACATCTTCAAAGGTACATGGTCAAGCAATAATGCAATATTATTGTAAAAATAAGAACAAAAAGGCAGAATGGAATTTATTGGTGAGCACTTTCCAAAACCAATTCATAGCAGTGTTGTAGAAAGGTTGTTGCATATTGAGAATTGTATAGAAAAGGAGGGCTGTGTCGTGCCACTTTGTCACACTCCTTAAAACTGCATTTGCCCCTAAATCATTAGTAGGCGCTCACTTGCTTAGTAGACCTTTGCAAACCATTAAAAGATAATGCTCAGATTTGGATGATTGACAGAGAAGGAAGACTGTGTTGTGTTCATTGGTATATATCATAGGGTTGACTAATACTCTATTTATAGAGTGCTTTCAGTCACCCGAACAGACACCTCTATATTTGTTTGTAGACAGAGAGATGTGTTTCTCTAGAACAAGCACCGGTTCAAAGAGACACAAACAAAAG